CCTGAGCGCAATGGTCTCTCTAGAAATTCCACAAGTGAACATCATAACAAAAATGGATCTGCTGAACAAGAAAGCGAAGAAGGAGATTGAGAAGTGAGTCCGTGGCGCCGTCTCAGCTGTGCAGTGCTGCTGTGGCAGAACCACCATGCGGCCGTGGATTTAGTTCTTCTCAGAGTTCCTCGGGCGTGGCTCGAGGGGGTGCTCTCTCTGTCATCTCTGCGGGCGTCCTTGTCTCTTCTCAGCTTCTACGCCCTCAGCTCCTCCATCTTCCTGGGGTGTGGCATCGACGCCCTTTAACCACTGCTCTAATCTTACAGAGAGATTGCTTTCAGATATGCCTTATACAAAAAGATCTTAACAAAGCCATTCCCAAGTCACACTGTAAACACAGGTTTAATGGTTCAGGTTTACAAAACACACTTTTGAACTGTAGATTGCGTGAGCACTTACAGGGCGTATTAGTTTTCAAGTCAATAAGTTAGAGAGGTTTTGTTTCATACCGTTGGTTCCATATCACGCTTTCTCTCAGGGTTCCCGGTGTTCGTTCACCCCTTACCTGTTCCTTCCTGCTTTCTGGGTTTTGCTGTGGGACAGAAACTTCCCCTTGGGTCTCGCATGAGTCACAGCATTTCCTAGGCCGTTACTTTACCTGACTGGAAGGTGATGGCTGGGAGTGGGATGAGCTCCAGGTTTGAGGGTTGTGTAAGGAACACAGTTCTGGGAGTTCCACCCTACGTCTGGGCTTTTTAATGGTTTTGAATTCTCTTCTGCATTTTTCGTCCATTCTGCTGCAGACCCTCTGAGGTCCCAGTCAGCGTGATTGTCTGTGGGAGTCAGGGAACCATCAGGTCTCTTGGGATTCTCCTGCCCTGTTAGTCCTTTGAATAAGTGTTTCCTTTGTCTTTGAATTTCCTCACCCTTCAGTCCTCTGGACAGGAAGGTGCCAGTCGCTGTGTCTTAGGTGTCCTCTTTGTGCACTGTGTGTGCCAGTTGTCTGACTTGTCCTCAGAGCTGTGCCCTGACGCCCTGCTGCCGAGTGGCACAGGCCTCAGAATGTGGAGCACATGTCCTGCAGAGACGCCGTTCAGCCCGTGGGGCCGTGGTCAAGCGCGCGTGTGGACAGTGCCACGTCATTTGTCCAGAGTGTGGTTCTGTTGTCTGTAAGTCAGTCTCCTGGTTTATGTGTTCCTAATTACCATCACTCTTCTTTCTCACCTCCGAAGGTTTCTGGATCCAGATGTATATTCTTTGTTAAAGGATTCTACAGGTGACTTAAGAAGCAAAAAGTTAAAGAAACTGACCAAAGCTATATGTGGACTGGTAAGTTTGGAGAACCCTGATTTTTAACTTTCTGTTGTGATTTAGCCGATTGGTTTTCCATTCGACAGGTGAGGTCCGTTCCACACCATGTCCTGGACTACAGTCCCCACATTTTAGCAGCAGTCTTCCCACTCCCCCCTCGTGTTTCCTGTTTCCATTTGTCTGTTCCTGGCCTCTTCTGACCTCAGTTTTATCCATGGGCATATGCTGCCTTTCCCCCTTGTAAGTGGCCTGAGGAGTGTGTTCTTCCCTGTTGCTGCTGCTGGCTTTACAGGCCTGTCCAGTGCTTAGCTGACGTTTGGGTCCCCAGAGGAGGGATGACTGAGGGGGTAGCCTGGGGAGTTCCGTGTTCCTGTGAAGAGGAGTGTGGTATCAGGACAGGAGGGAGACTCATCAGTACAGTAACCTGCGTTATGCAGGTGACGCAACTTGGCTTGCTGAAAGTGAGGAGGACTTGAAGCACTTGTTGGAGAAGGTCAGGGAATGCAGTCTTCGGTATGAATTTCATTTCGGTATCAAGAAAATAAAGATTCTTACCATTAGACCAATAGGCAACATCATGATGAATGGAGAAAAGATTGAAACGGTCAACAACTTCATCTTGCTTGAATCTATAATTAACACCCTTGATACCGGGAGACACATTGTACTGGAAAAGTCTACAGTTAAGGACCTCTCCAGATTATTGAGGCGTTATGATGTCAGTTTGAGGACTAAGGTCTGTCCGATTCAGGCCATGGTCTTTTCCATCACTTGCTGTGCATCTGAGAGCTGGACAGTGAATAAAGGATGACAGAAGAATTATAAATGCCTTTGAAGCGTGGTATTGGAGAAGGACACTGAATATCCCACAGACGGCCAAAAGAACAGTTGTGTCCTGGAGAGGGCGCACCCAGAGAACTCTTCAGAGGCAAGAGTGATGACTCTTTGCCTTACATTCTTTGAGCATGTTGTTCGGAGGGGCTGCTCCTTGGAGAGGGACATGATGCTCAGGAAGGTGGAGATTGGTGAAGGACAGGAAGACCCTTGGCCAGAAAGACTGACAGGGTGATTTCTTCTGTGGTCTCCAATGTTTCCGGAAGTGTGAGGATGTGACAAGACAAGACAGGGTTCAGATCTGTTATTCCTAGGATCGCTATGGGTCATACTCAAAGGCACCTAACAGCAACAACAACAAAGTGATTATCCCTAGTGTCTGTTTCCTCCTCACCCACGATGACAGCCTTTGATGCGGAATGTGTCCCTGAGCTGTGGCCCACAGAACCTTCCCTGTTGGCATTTAGATGCACTCGTTTTAATGCTTGTGATGATCAAGAACTAATGGTAGAAAAGGAAGTAGTTGAAGGTGCATGAAGAGCCCTTGGGTAAAATAAGGTCCCAGGAATTAATGTGACACCAGTGGACTTGTTCCTGCATGGACATGCTCACCAAGTTGTGCCAAGAAGCTGGAAGACAGCTACCTGGCCAACTGACTGGAGGAGATACCTGTTTATTCCCTTTCTCAAAGAAAAGTGATCCAGCAGTGCATGCAAGTGATCAAAGAGTATCACACACAAGCAAAATTTTACTGACGATTATTCAGAAAAAACTAGAAGAGTACATCAACACAGAACTGTCTGAAGTTCAAACTAGGTTTAGAAGAGTCCATGGAAACGGCGATATCATTGTTAATGACACATGGATCTTAACTGAAGGCAGAAAATACCAGAAGAATGTCTATTTATGTTTTCTTGATTATGCAAAGGTATGTGACTGGTGACCACAGCAAATTACAGATAACGTTGAGAAACATGGGAATCCTAGAACACGAAGCTGTGCTTCTGTGAAACCTAAACCTAGACCAAGAGGCTATTGTTCAGACAGAGCCAGGGAACAATACATAGTTTAAAAGCAAGCCAGGCAGGAACAAGAGGTGCGTTGCAGATGAACTGGGGGAGAGGGAAGAGCTTCGGCTACCCTCCTTGGGACATGTTGTGAGGAGCAGGCAGACCTTGAAGGGCATCGTGCTTGGAAAGTGGAGGGTCGGCGTCAAAGAGGGAGACTCTCAACAAGACAGGCTGTGACATGGGCTCAGGTGTGTCAGAGACGGGGAGGATGGTGCAGGGCACGGCAGGTGCAGATACCCTGTCATAGGTGTCTTGCAACACCAACAGCACATGACTAGGGTCCTGTAGCAGCTGAGAAAAAGAAACTGGCACTTTTAACTGTTTTCATACGTTTAAGAAGCCCCAGGGTGGTGTAAACAATGCTCTGGGCTGATGACCGAGAGGTTGAAGGTTCAGGGCCACCCATAGAGGCCTCAAAAGAGGTTTGGCAAGGGACCTCTGGTGGCCTTGTGGCCAGAAGCTGTGCGGCAATCCCGAAGGTGGGTGGTTCGAATCCACTAGATGCTCCTCTGGAGAAGGAGGGGCAATCTCCTCTTGTGCCAGTCGGACCAAATCCAACATATACGACAAGGAAAAAAAGAGGCCTGGCAACCTCTTTCAGAAAAATCAGCGCTGCCCTCCCCACAGGGCCTTCTCCTATGACACAAATGCCTCCTGTGACGTGCACCCCTTCCTATGATGTGTACCCCCCTGTGATGCACTCCCCCTCCTAGGATGTGTGCCCTCCATCCTGTGATGTGCACCCCTCCTGTGACACGCCCTCCCTCATGTGTTATGCACCTCCCCGCATGCTCCCTCCTGTGACATGCCCCCTCCTGTGATGCAGGCCCCCTCCTAGGATGTGTTCCCCCTCCTGTGACACGTGCTACCCCCTCACGCCCTCTCCTATGACGTGCACCCCTTGCACCTCCTCCTGTGATGTGCCTACCCGTCTTGTGACGTGTGCCCCTTCTTAGGATGTGTCCTCCATCCTGTGATACATGCCCCCTCCTACAGTGTGTCCCCCTCCTGTGACGTGCCCCCTCCTCCTGTGGCACATACACTATGTGTCTGTGAGTAAGGGGTTAGCCTGCGGTAGCCGGTTAAATTTTTGGTTTTAGAAACGCATCACATGGCAGAGTCTTTCTGACCCTCACAAGACTTTGATGACGTCTGACGGGCAAGCACCACTGGGCCTGCTGTTCACCACAACCCTGTCCCCCCCCAGTTCCCCAGATACCCCGCCCAGAGTTCCTGCTGAGAGGGTTATGTGGTGCAGATACGTTCCTTGACTGAGGGACAGACGTGGGCATCAAAAGGCCCCTGGCTGATAAAGAGACCAAACAGGACTGAGAGAAAGCAGGCAGCGTGAACTAGCGTTTCCACAGCAGCAGGGAGCAGTAACCCGGGCTCCGCATCCCCCTGTGCGAGCCCCGCCTGCCATCTTGACCGCTTGCTGCAGCTTTCTGACGGAGGTCCATGCTAGTGCACAGGGCTTAGACACAGCAGACAAGATGGCCCACAGTGAAACGGGGGGCCCACAGTGGAACAGGGCCCGCAGTGGAACGGGCTGGCCCTCAGGGGAACGGGGCGGCCCACGGGGGAACGGGGCAGCCCAGGGTGAAATGGCGTGGAACAGGGTGGCCCTTGGTGGAACAGGCTTCTGTCGCTGTACTGGGTCATGAGTCACAGGAGACCCCTCGGCCCCTAACAACACCATTAGCCCGTTGACCAGTGGCTAGATCAGGGAGAATTGGCATTTTCCTTGTTTCTTGGTGGATCACGGGGTGAGGCATGTGGCTCTGTCATCACACAGAGGGTGTCAGGGACAGAAGGGCAGAGAGCACAGCTGAGCCTTCCGGGACTCGAGGCGGAAGCGGGTCAGAGACCCTGACCATCCTTACCATCTCTCAGCCCCCCTGCACGTTCCCGCCCAGGACCCCAGTCTGGCCACATCCCCCGGCAATGTCCGAGTCATTCTGCAGATGGCTGCGGCTTTTATCTGACCTCATGTCACTAGCGTCCATTCTCTTCCGCTCTCAGATGAAACTCCAGGCGATCCATTTCATCAGTGCAAACAGCCTTGCTTTGGGTCAGCCCTGGGGGTCAGGTTTGCTGACTAACCTGGATTATTATCCCCAGGCTAGGGGTGTCACCTCGTCCCATCAGTGGCCGCTCTTGGGTAAAGCACAGTAGCCCACTGCCATCGGCAGGGCCCCTCAGGCTGTCTGAGCTGCATTGGGATTGATGGGTAGGTCCTGGCAGTGGCCAGGACGTCAGCTGGCAGAGGTCGCGTTCCAGGCCACTTGGGGATTTGAACACAGCATGCAGCCTTATGAAATCCCTAGAGGTTGGCGAGACCAGGTCAACACCTGTGAAATCGTGTCAGTTAAGTAATAAGCTGACAGTGCAGGAGGAGGACTGAGGTCAGAAAGACCCATCAGCAGCATTTGCTGGTGTTCTCTTCCCAGCTCACCTCCTCCACCCCGTTACACAGACGCACACATGCCCACCGGCACGTGTAATCAGCACAGAGGTCGTGAAGGGGAACTGTAGGTTGAGCCTCTGAGCCCCGCACAGCCTCCAGTGGAGTCCTGCAATGCCCTCCCCTCCCCCCCTGCAGATTGACGACTACAGCATGGTGCGCTTCCTGCCGTTCGATCAGTCTGACGAGGAGAGCATGAACATTGTCCTGCAGCATATTGATTTTGCCATTCAGTACGGAGAAGACTTGGAATTCAGAGAACCAGAGGTACCTGGGGGAGGGTGACCGTGATTGAGCGTGCTCGCTGGCCTCCCGCCCCCATGGACAGCTCAGGTGCACTTCGGTTTGAGGCTGGCCGTGCCCTGGCTCACTGTCTGGAGCCCCCTGGCCTCCTGCCTTTCGCTGCGGCAGGACTGCTGTGTTAAGCGTCTGGAATCGGGGTGGGAGTCTTGCAGAGTTGAGGAGACGTCCGCCAGTGGAGCGTGGACCCTTCTTATGGTTGGGACAACTGGTGGGAGCCAGCCAGTTAGCGAGAGTCCACCACTGATGCCTGAGCACATACCTGGAAAACGCCTGTCCACCTCGGCTTTGGTTCTCAGCCGCTACCTCATCCTGAGAGCCAGGGCTGCTGTGTGCTGGACGCTAGCCGATAAGAGAACATTAAGGGCACACGGGGGATTCTCCGCACAGGCCAGGTCGCTTGAAAGAAGTGAATGCATTTTCCGTTTTGTTTTCTTGTTTCAGGAACAAGAGTCATCTTCTATGATGGATATTTTCAGGAACACCATAGTGAGTGAAGATGTTACTGAAGAGCACCTGGGTGCCACGGAACGTTGTTCTCGTCACGAGATGCTGTAGAACCTTCTTATCCTAACACCAGTTCCTCACTGAGTGGGGAAAGGGCCAGTTGGCTCCTTCTCAACAGATGCCTGAATCACGGCCCAAGGTCGCCGCCGCTGAAAGTGGGATCTGCTGATGTTGTTTTCACCACCTCAGTCTAGAATGCGCGCGTTTCATGAATGTATGTGTGTTTGTATAGAACATGAATTAGCTTCTGGGCTACAGTTTAAACTGGCCTGGCATTTCTTTCAGTTTGGCTTGGGGAGTGGGAAGACTGACTAATAAAATATACACATGTCTAGAGTCCAAAGGGAAAATGTAAGGAAGCAGGCAGTAAGAGAATGCTTGTCTGATCTTCCAGTTTTCCTGTGTTGAAAATATGTTCTTGGCGAGCTCTGGTGGCCTAGCGGTAGGAAACTGCACTGCAGTCCCAGAGGTGCACGGTTCAAATCCACCAGATGCTCTGCTGAAGAGGGAGGAACATTCGCCTCCTGTACCAGTCAGATCCGATTTGATGGTACACACATTAAAAGAATGAATGAATGAATAAATAAATAAAAATTATAAAAAAAAAGAAAATATCTTCTTGTAGTCTTCAGTTTAGAAAATGGAGTTTCCCCCACATCCAAAAGTCCAGCACTCT